GAAACTCGATTATTTGGTTAAAACGAAAATTCCCTGAAGAAGTTGTCCAATTGACTCCTAGTCATCATGATGTACGTTGGAGTCATCCTGGAGTATCGATTATTTGATTACAGATAAATTCCCTGGAGAAGTTGCCCAATTGACTCCTAGAAATCATGATATACGTTGGAGTCATCCTGGAGTATCGATTGTTTGACTAGAGCTAAAATTCCATGGAGAAGTTGCCCAATTAACATCTGGGTATCTGGATGTACGTTGGAGTTGTCATAGAAACTCGATTATTTGGTTAAAACGAAAATTCCCTGAAGAAGTTGTCCAATTGACTCCTAGTCATCATGATGTACGTTGGAGTCATCCTGGAGTATCGATTAGTTGATTACAGTTAAAATTCCCTGGAGAGTTGCCCAATTGACACATCGGTATCTGCATGTACGTTGGAGTTGTCATAGAAACTCGATTATTTGGTTAAAACGAAAATTCCCTGAAGAAGTTGTCCAATTGACTCCTAGTCATCATGATGTACGTTGGAGTCATCCTGGAGTATCGATTATTTGAATACAGTTAAAATTCCCTGGAGAAGTTGCCCAATTGACTCCTAGTAATCATGATGTACGTTGGAGTCATCCTGGAGTATCGATTGTTTGATTACAGCTAAAATTCCCCAGAGAAGTTGTCCAATTGACTCCTAGTCATCATGATGTTCGTTGGAGTCATCCTAAAGTATCGATTTTTTGATTACAGCTAAAATTCCCTGATGAAGTTGTCCAATTTACTCCTGGATATCTGGATGTACGTTGGAGTCATCCCGGAGTATCAGTTACTTGATTGAAACGAAAATTCCATGAATTCTGGGAAAAAACCAAAAAAATTCCGGGAATGTTCTCAAAATGTTGTGGGAACTACTCCCAGAGTCACTCTGCAAAAACTTCCGGGAACCTTTTCACGTGGGAAAGAAGTTTCTTCTTTGGGGTGCAGCATTTCCAGGTACCGAAGGACTGGTTCTGGATCCCATGTTGATTGGTACTTCGGTCTTAGTTTTGAGATTCCTTTAAAAATCGGGAGATTTGTGCATCGTTTTCTAATTCGTTGCCCATAATTAAAGAAATGGCTGGTCTGTAAACGTTGAGCACACCGTATGACTTATTGTTAGTATGTGTCATAGCCTCCGTGAAAAATTGTAAAATCATGGTATTTAAGCTGCTGAAGATTGGGGTTTCATTTACTTGACAAAATTTCTACCATTTTTCAAGACTTTTACTATACTGTTTTTTTCTGATAGGGAGGCTAACATTACTTCCACTGCTTTCGGTGTAATAGTAGCTGCCCCAGCCAGATCATCATCATCTTTACAGAGAATCATCTGTAAAGATAGTTAGTTTACACCTGGACTCTCTGATTGAATTGACTGATAATATGGACGTCACTATCCATCACTTTAAGTTCTCATCGACCTTGTCAGAACGTGTAAGTTTCTTATAAAAATCGTTGTCGTAGTTTCTCAAAGCACGGAATTTCTTTCTTTCTCCAGCTGTTTAATATGCACCCTGCTATAACAGATAGCTGGACATGCAGCTACTAAAGTGACAATGAATCAAGCATAGTTTTTATGCTGTAGGGAATTCTAATTTCCCAAGTAATTTCATATTGAAGAATCGATAATAGATGCTAATGTGATTTCCAGACTTTCTTCTGGTGTTCCCATTTGAATCCAAGCTTGCCGAATAATTGGCCAGCCACCAGGCTAAGGTGCTTCTATAATGGGTGTCGAGGTCTATCGGATGAAATCAAAATATTATGACAAGGCTTAAAATAAATACGTATTTCAGTTAACAGCGCATGGAAAATGAAACATCATTTTTTGCCACTCTTTGGAAAAAATTTTTAGCGTACTGTTACATCCCAGTAACTAAAATTTTAAAAATATATTAAAATATATTTCATTTATATAGGCATATAATAAGTAGTAAAAATAATAGTAAACAAAGCTTTACTCTCAATCTTTCAAAATTGATAATCTAAAATTATAATTATTTCTAATATTATATTGAAGCATTGACTCATATATATCATTATATGTGTCTATGTCTATATATATGTATATCTCTGCCTGCATGCTATGACTCGACGCGAGCAAACAATGTATATAGATATAGTGCGTACAGGCATGGATATGTGAGTATAGATATGGCGCGTAGATGCATCACCGAAGGTGACCTCCCGCTACAGAAAGGCTATGCTGAGAAATCACGTGTGATTGTTGAACAAGAGCGAAAACTATCTATACTAGTTTTAGCCCTAATTCTTCAAAATTAATTATTTCTTTTTGCAATATTATATAAAATTCAATTACCTATTATTATCAAAATAACAAACCTCATATTTTCAATATTTTAAGATTACAAAACGCTATTATTCAAAAGTATGAATAATTCTCAATATAAAAACTTTCCTAATATGATTTCCACGCAAATCTTTGGCTAATTCTTAGGAATTGTTTTTGCAGCTGCATAAAGTATAAAATTCTATGCAATGTTCAACTTTTCACTTGTATCAAATAGCATAGGCTAACCTTTGACTTGAATATCGAAAGCCTGATGATAGGCAATTCCTAGAAATTATACCTATGCCATTTGACACTACTACGCACAATACTTTCTACCAACGAATGGACTTATGACTCATGTATGCGTTTAGCGAGGCGCAAGCACAGTTTTCGAGCTACTATTGGAAGATGCTTGTAGACGATGTAATAGCGATACTTGCGCTATGCGATACAGGATGCAGGTGTCCATCTAAGTTCTGAGAATTGTCTTAATTCTATGAAAGGTCTAAGAGTCATGCTTGGAGATGGGGTGATCTTTGAACTTATTTACTCCCACTGAGGATCATTTTCTAGTATAAAAACCCATACAAATACATTGTCATTTGTCATTTGCTCCGGAATCATTTTATAGTTCGTTTCATAACGTGAAATTACCATCGTGAGTTTGACCCTTCGGTTACTTTAAAATTATTACTACTGTAACTCTTGCATCTCGAACAGTATATGTTTACTCGTTGTTCGGTATTAAAGCAAGTAATCATCATCGCCAGATTTGTAAGCTTGTCATTTATTTAATTTTATTGTTAATCGTCGTATAAGTGTATTCTCAATTTAACGATTTTGCAAACGTGACGTGTGTGCATTTCGGAGTTTACGAACTAAAAAACTGTGAGGAAGTCTCAACCGTTCCTTTTCAGGAGTTGTAAAAACTCACAGCGTCAAGGACAAGTGCCAACTTGTCAATTTATATTTGTTTCTGCCCTCTGAACAGAGGTAATTGTAAGTACTAAATTTTAAAATCCACAATTCTTGTAACAACATCTTTTAACATAAAACATTATTGTAACATTTTGATTTAATTCATTATATTAATAAATTATACAACATTTATATCAATAAAATTCTTCACTGAGATTCTCATATACCTAAATTCATATTTAAATTAACAACTATAAGTGTCAAGGCAATTATTTAATAGTAAAATAAATTAAAAGACGACCCCCGTAGGATCGATACGAACAAACTTTCTCACATAAAAATAAATGGTCAAGCTTTACCAACTTGACTTAATCAGCCTACCATTCCTCCAAATTTTTAAAATTGATTTTATTAATTAAAATTAAATTCAACCTCGCCTTTCGCTCGGGATGTAACAGCACCAACAATTTCACAAACAGGCTCTTGTAGTTTTTTTGAGGCCCGAAATTTTTATTAGGTTTTAAACCTTTGGCTCCGGAATTCAATGTTTGCAGATTAACTTGCATCACTGTAAAAGCGCAACGGCGATTCTAGGCAAGAGCTTGACAGTGAAGCAAACAGCCATTGCCTTTATTCAAAATCCTTGGGTTTACAAGGGTAAGATTAGACGTTTGAATAACAGTGGGGAGTTAATGAGTTCACCACAGGTATTGGCACCCAGGGCGTGTATCGCCTATAAGGGAGTAAATGCGTTTCCTCTTTTAGAGTTAACTAGTCGAGATCTGGCAGTTATAAAAGTCATATATCGAGTTAAAAATGGAAGTAACAAAGAGGTGATTCTTGCCTCTGGTTACTTTCCGGGATCAGAAAATGAACTCTCACCACCAGACGAGGTAATAAGACTGGTGGAGTACTGTCATCAGGACGGACTTTTTCTTATTTTGGGTTGTGATACCAATTCACACCATGTTATTTGAGGTAGTACAGACATCAATGATAGAAGTGTAAAACTTCTCGACTTTCTAGTTGATTCAGACCTAGATTTCCTTAATCAGGAAAACAAGCTTACCTTTGTTACTAAAAACAGGAAGGAGGTTTTGGATATTACTATCTGTTCGAGGTCAATGTGGGAGAAAGTGCAGGATTGGAAAGTGTCGGATGAAGACTCACTTTCAGACCACAGACTTATAACGTTCAGAATAGAGTCAGCTGATCGTGAATATAAGTGGGTCGTAATCCTAGAAGTACCAATTGGTCTTTATATTGTGAAGACCTTAGGGACTCCATGGAATGCTTTCCTACTAGTTATGGTACAAAAGAGGAGTTAGAACTTGCAGCAAATTTTCTGCAGGATTCAATTATTTCCGCTTTTGAGAGAAAGTGTAACCCAAAAAGATTTGAAACTAGCAGGAAAACTACTTGGTGGAATGCTAAGTTGGAAAGACTTAGGGGTAAGGTGAGAATGTTGCTGCATAAAGCAAAGAAAAGTAGGAATGAACAGGCATGGGCAGTGAACCAGAACGCTCGTAATTCCTATAAAAAAGAGATAGACAAGGCTCGAGCATCCGGCTGGAGGAGCTTTTGCGAAGGTATTGAGAAGATACCAGAAGTATGTAGACTTCATAAAATTCTAGCCAGAGATGCTACAGCTAAGCTATCTTCAATTAAGCTACCTAAAGGACGTTTCGCCCGTGACAGCTGAGTGTATCCACGAAAATCTCGTCCTGGACAAGAACACTGGAAACTTGCATCCGACATTATGACTCCGGAAAAGATTGATTGGGCTTTAGGTCTGTTTAAGCCATTTAAGGCACCAGGGGGAGACGGCATATACCCGATTCTCTTACAAAAAGGACTGCGGTATGTTCGTATACCTTTGGTTAAAATCATGAGAACAAGTATAGCTCTAGGCTACACTCCTGAGGCATGGAAAATGACCAGAGTAGTGTTTATTCCGAAGGCTGGGCGTGCTAGTAATACAGCAGCCAAAGACTTCAGACCGATCAGTTTAACCTCCTTCATCCTTAAGAGGTTGGAGAAACTGATCGATACTTTTATCAGGCAGGAATGTCTGATAAATCAACCTTTACATTCAGGACAGCACGCGTATAGAGCAGGCTGTTCTGTAGAAACAGCCCTTCATTCAGCAATTTTCAAAATATAGGAAGAGATACACTCAGGGGGTTATGCGGTAGTCACTTTTTTAGATATAGAGGGTGCTTTCCCTAACACCTGTAGTCAAGAAATATGCAATGCGGCTAAGAGATGTGGCATACCAGATCCATTGGTTAGGTGGATTAAAGGTATGCTCCGTAATAGAGCCCTGAAAGCAGAGTTTGGAGAGGCCAAAATAAATGGCCTAGTTTCCTATGGTTGCCCACAAGGCGGTGTTTTATCTCCTCTATTGTGGAGCTTAGTTGCAGATAAGTTATTAGTAGAACTCAACGGACAGGGATTTAATACGCAAAGCTATGCGGACGACTTCCTGATTATTGTAAGAGGTCTCTCGTTATATACACTCTTAGAATTGACACAGAGGGCATTAGGGATCGTTAAGAGATGGTGTGAACGAACTGGCCATCCTGTTAATCCAGACAAGACGGATATTGTTATGTTTACTAGGAAATACAAGGTTCTCACTGTGAGAAAACCTGTATTTTATGGGAGAGAAGTGCCTTTTTCCGATTCGGTCAAATATCTGGGAGTGATTCTGGATAAGAAGCTGATGTGGAGAAAGCACTCACAGTATCAATATAGTAGATTTTGCACTACTTTCCGGGTTTGCAGAAGGGCTATTGGATCATCTTGGGTATTAAAACCGGATATGGTTCAGTGGCTCTATCGTATGGTCCTGTTGCTAAGGTTTCCGCATGCAGCAGTTGTTTGGTGGATTAGAAGCCAGTTGAAAACGATGAAATTGAAACTTGAATAACTGCAAGCAATGATGTTTAGAGGGATTACTGGCGTAATTAGAACCACGCCAACTTCTGCGTTAGGTTTCTTACTGGCGGAGGAACCTCTACACATTTTAACGGTTAAGAAGGCTGCTCTCACAATGACCAGTCTTCAAGCACAGTGAAAATGGAGAGCTAGGGGAAAACACACAAAACTCCCGGCCTCTATACTGAAGATCCCCAGAAATCAGTATGGGATAGGATAGAATGGTCTAATGCAACTAAAGTGACATTATCTTTGGGTAATTACACCTCGGTCTGGCAGGCAGAGGTTGTCTTGAAAAAGGAAAATCTGACAAGAGAATTAATATCTGTGTCGATAGTCAGGCGGCTTTAAACGCCTTGAGTAATCCGACTATAGAGTCAAAACTAGTTTGAGAATGTCGGAAGATATTATACGAGCTAGGTTTGAAAAATAAGCTCTCATTAATCTAGGTACCAGGACACTCGGGAATCAGAGGAAATGAGGCAGCGGATATCTTAGGCCGTAGAGGGTCTGAGATGACTATGATAGGCCCGGAACCGGCGGTAGGCATTATGCCAGGCGCGGTAAAAAGGGCCATTGAAAGATGATCTAGTGGATGTTATGAGAGAGAGTGGGTGAAGACTACTATAGATACACAGGCCAAAGCTCTGTTGGGATTAAAACTGAACAGGGGCTTTGCCGAGTGACTTCTAAAACTCAATAAGAACAAAGTTAGAGAAGTGGTCAGGCTGCTCACAGGACATGGCCTCCTGAATTATCATCAGCACAAAATAGGTAGAAACGTCTCACCTAGGTGCAGATTGTGTGACGCAGAAGAGGAATCTTCTACTCATATTTTATGTCCCTGTCCAGCTTACGCTGCAGTGAGACATCAATGCTGGGGTTATGCCTTTATAGACCCAGATAGGATTCGCGACCTCTCGTTAGAAGAATTACTGGACTTTTGGAATAGGACAGGACTCTAGAGAGGGAGACTGGGTTCGAGCTTGCCGGGGTTAGGTGCAATAGGGCTTGCGACTTAAGTACCAACACTCGTACTAGAGGACTTCGGTATAAGCTTGTTTTAGATTAGATTAGAAACATTTGACTCTCCGTTTTAGAGATCTTCATTTTTCAGAATTGTGACGACTTCTTTACCGAACAAGAGTTCTTTACAACAATCAATCGCTGATTCTTGTGTCAGCAAATAAGATATGATCTTTACATTCGCTGCGCTACAAGCTGTAATTTTTTCTTGACGAGCAAAAACTTTTCTATCTCGAAGGGCAACTGCTTTTGGAAGGGAGCTCTTAAATTCAGCATTCAATTTCGGGGGATCAATTTGGATACAATTAGTCAGAGGCGGATATTTTTTCAACAGATCTTTAAAACCTTTTTCGTGCAGACCTAATTTCAAAATCTCCTTTCAACGAACTACGAAATCATTGAAGAATTTGTGGAGCTAAAACTCTTTCTGCATCCAAGCGTTTTCCAATTACATTTAATACAGTGGGATCCAATGTTTTTCTTTAGGTGTTGTTTCACGTTGTGACTGGGATGTTTCCGTTTTATTCGTGTTCTAATTTTTTTACAAAAAATACTACAGTGAATAAAGACAAAAAGTGTAAAACCGTGGAAACGTATGTGTGGACTATTACAGCACTTTCTTCAAATTCAACTGATGAAGACAAGGATGTGTGGATGTCCGATTCAGGTGCCATTATGCACGTGAGGTACAGAAGTGCTTTGTTTATAGTCGCACATGACAAAATTCTAGCAGCAGCTAATAAAGACTCCATATTTCATTCAGGAAGAATGAAAGGATGCGTTACAGCAACGTGAATTAAAAAATGTTTTATTGATTCCTAAGTTCAAAAGATTTCTATTGGTACGATTAGCAACAAGAATTTTTCATTACATGCGTATAAAGAAAAGTGCAAGATTCTCGACAAAGATGGAAAACTTTCATCTATTGGTGTACGACAGAATACATTGTTTCACATGGATTTTAAAGTAATAAAACCTAATGCATGTAATTCTGCGCAAAAACTGATTTAACTTTGGTGAAATTAAAAGTATGGCATGAGCGTATGCACTGAAAAAAAGAATATAGAATGTGATTTAGAATTCGGCAATTTTTGTTGTATAACTAAACTAAATGCATATAGGACGACTGTTTCTGTAGAGAAATGCAACTGCTTGGTTACTAAGTTAACAACTACATGATATTTATAAAATGAATGTGACAGTTATATCAAGAATATTAAAACTATGTTTTTATTATGAAAATGGATCAAAGTGTTTTCAGAAATATTAACAAAATATTTAAGCTAAAATTTGTTCTACACAATTTACATATTCGCTTGATTAATAACATGCATTTCTAACCTTAGTAAACAAAGCAAAAATTGCCTTTCTCTACAGAAACAATTGCTATATATGCATTTACTTTAGTTATACGACCAAAATTGGTGTATTCTAAAGCACATTCTATATTCTTTTTTTCAGTGTCATTCATATATTTTTTTTAAAAAGGGGTTTGTGCTACCTTAACTTTAAACTAGCACCAACCGCTACAAAACTCAAATAAATAATCAGATATTTAAAATTGTACTTTTCCCTATTTTAGGGCTCCTTTAGGGCTTTTAAACGGAGCTAGAAAATTTTTTAAAATAAACTTCAAAATCTAAAAAACACTACTTCATATATATTTAAAAAAAAGAGATTGGTGCTACCTCAACTTTGAGGTGACACAACTCACTTCAAAACCCAAATAAAAAATCAGGTTTTTGAAAATTCAACTTTACCATAATTTAGGGCTTTTCAATGGACATGGAATGAATTTTCAAAACAACTTAAAAATCAAAAACCCAGTGCATCATATGTTTTGTTTTTATAAAAGGAGTTTACTTTGTTGTGGCTGCAAACTATTTGCTGTCACATTATATTACGTTAGCTGATATAGGTGATAAAAAAATTAGTAACATCCAGCTCTCTCAAAAATTGAGCACCTAGCTATAATGTCTGCTTACAGGCTAAGTTCCATAAGAAAAGTAGATAACTTTTTAATTTTGAATAGATACAAAACCCTGTGAAATAGAATGAGTTTGTTAGTAGTCAAGTATATTTAGTATAATCATAAACTACTGTCTTCTTCTTACTTGTATATTACAAACTTTTTTTAACGTATTAACATTTTTTTGTAAAAATTATTGAATTTCATTTTTAAAATAACATTAATTAAAAGGATTTCCTTAAGTGGCCTACTACTGTCTACTTGACCCTAGGGTAAACTAATAAGCTTCTACTGTAAGTTCAATCCAAGGTTCAGTCTGTAATTAATGAGGGAGCTTTAATCAATTTTAACACAAGAAAATGTTTAACAATAATTAAATAATATTGAATAATATTTATTATCAGTTTTTTTTTAATTTCGTTGATTTTCGCATTGTGTAGTCACATTAGTTTGAAGTAGACAACCATCTGATTCAGCTTGTGAAATAATCAAAATAGCCTTTAAGACCTTTTCAGCATTAACGAGTCCAGATGAGTTGTCCAATTGCAGCTTTATAAAATGTGCTAACTCTTTTAAGCTTCGTCAATTTGCTTAAAAGATCCGAATATAATTTTATAAAATGGACAACATCTAGTCGAATGTAACATTTCGGAAGTTCCCCTTGGTGACAAGCATCTATGTACTCTGATATCGTTCTGTACTGCGTACACGTTCTTACTGTGGCTGCCAATAGAGCTGTTAAACCATCACAACTCATAATTTTAGAAACTGGAGCACCTGATTCGCTCCATTCGCCTAAAAAATGCGAAATTGTTACCGAGGTACGTGCCAAACTAATCATCTGTGAGCTACACAATACTGTCCGGCTTCTTCATGTACTACTATGAGATAAAGGAAAATATGAACTGTTGAAATATCTCAGGTTTCACAGTGCCCCTAAAAAATATTTTAGGGGAAATAGGGGACTGAAAATTGATAAATAGGGGACTTTTAGGGGACTATGAAAATTGTTTAAAATTAAATATATAATTTATTTATAAGAACACAAATTTAGCACGATTTTCAAATACTGCTTTAAGAAATTTTAGTACAATATCTAGTACAACGGGAAATATTAATTTACATTTAAAAAGTCTTTAAGGTTTCTTTTATCACATAATTTAAAACTTTCTTAAGAGATAAAAAATTAAAAGATAACGGTTTACTTTAAGTTTTGGCTTCTTAATTAA